GGTGTAGTGTATTGTGTAGTGTGGTGTGGTGTGGTGTGGTGTGGTGTGGTGTGGTGTGGTGTAGTGTAGTGTAGTGTAGTGTAGTGTAGTGTATATATGTCTACATTGCGTTTCTAGAATACGAGATAAACATTGGTTTAGTATATTCTATGTATGCAACATGTACTTACGGTAAACTGGATTAGAACAAAAGAATGATTCCGTCAAATTGCACACTCGTATATCACCTTCAAAATAATTGGAGTAGAGGAAAATAAGATATATAGTATGTAGATATACATGAAGACACGGTTTACAATATTATAACATAGAACAGTCTGAATCTAGCCGTCAGATTGGTTGAAACAATGTTTTATATCTGGCACTAAAACATGTGATGCTGCGCCGTAACTGAATAAACTGTTTTTAATATCTAAGTAAATCAAGGTAACGCGACTGTTAGCACTGTTCGTGATGACGGCAGGTGTGATATCAACTGCTCAAAAACAGGGAAATTTATTATTATTGCCAAAATAATTGAGCATTTTGTGAGAAAACTCCCTGCGAATTCCTTGTGCGAGCGTGTTATAATAAGGTAATGCAGGTTACCCACGGGTATCTGGTTATCATGTTATACGTGAAACCTTCCCAACTAATAAATACCTGCACCAATATAGAAGTAAGGTCTTTACGTATAGGAATTGTCAACTTGATATCTGATTGTATGCACCTACCCGGCATATATGGTTCTCTGCACGTACATGACTTGGTTGCAGCGAGAGTGAAACTTTCCATTTCGCAGTTTGCCCTTGAATACACATCAAAATATTGCAAGGGTTGATTGGTGCATCTCAACAGCTTAGTCTGAATATGAATAATGAAGTATTTATTTTTATTTGAATTCTCGGTATCCACTACACCACTGTATTCCATTCGTTAATTGTCAAGATGCGGAAACAGTAAATTATGCACACCAGAAGATTATATATAAATATATAATAGTATAAATAGAAAATGTATAGAAAGATTGTATACATAGAGAATGCATTTGTAATCATTTTTATATCTGCCATCACCTGATGTAATCTAAGTGCGATTGTGGAGTCCATTCCCGGTCCGAATGACATTGAAACTTCGTTCACAAGCGGTACGTCGGTTTGTGTATGTGTCATTATCTGAAACAGAAATCATCGAAATTATTAAAATCCAAGCCAAATGTTTCTATATGAGTATAAAAACGAACATGTAATGTAATGGTGCATTGAAAGAAAACTAAAGATAGTGTGTAAACGCATAAAATCTATATATCTCATTGTACTCAAAACGTTAAATTAAACCACGTTACAATAATTATATCCATAAGCCGTGATTTCACTGCTGTTAGCGCACATTACGTAACGTAGATGCTTAATAGCATTAGCCATTGTGTCGGTGAATTTTCAAAATTACTAAGATGCAACAGTCAGGAGGAATATGTCAACAATGAATGTAAAATAGTGTTTTTTTCTGAACCATTGTAATACTTGTTCGTGAGTATATTACTGCAAAGGATACTATAATATATTGCCATAGTTTAAACAGAAAGCTCTGCTTTGTTAAATCGTGGAGGTATAATACCTTCATGGTTAAATATAGTTTATACAATATTCTACTATTTAGTCTTACTTTCACGCCCGCTCCTTTAGAAACACCTGGCATATATTCGTGCTGTTCAATGTCCAATACCATATACAGGCCGAACATACTTCCACGATTTTTCACTGTCAAACCATTCTTCACATCCCCGTTAAACGTATAGCATACGCCATAGTTTGTCATCACATTTGTGAAGTTTTCCGGTCCACACGCAGTCTCCGACGACCACGTGCACGCGATTAGCATATCTTCGATCTGGTGAGCAGCCTCCATTTCAAAAGCAGTCCGGTTTAGGTTAGTTATCACGTCCGTATAATTCGACCAGTCCACCTCCCCTATTTCTCCCTGTACTGGTGAACCGTACATCTTGTACAAAAGATCCTCCGCCCATGTACCGGCCAGGACGCTTTGTCTATATTTGTTGTAGTTGCACACAGTTACAGCGGGAAATGGCACGGCATTTGGATGATGAATTTCCACGACAGTGGTTACAGGTTGAGCAATGAAACGTATTGCGCTGTCTTTTAGAGTAATAACAACACCAGCTGTACCGAGGGAGACAAACAACACCCACATCAACCTGAACAATCATACAAACAAAATGTATATATATTAATAACTTGGGTAAACGACGGCTTTCACTGCTTTGACTCAACTTTGCACTGGATCTTGTCGCGTATGCACTGGTATAAGGTGTATATTTCAAACGAAGCATATGCTATATCTCTTAACAATGTTCAACTAGTGACAGGCACTTTGCAATTATGTTGTTGCAGTCTGTAGTGGAAAAGTATTAGAAAACCACACCTAAAGTGTGTACGTTTGAAAAACGAGCGACTCCGTGCCAGGATGTGACTGGGTTTGCCAAATATTTACATGTTTTAATCAAAGCTCTTACAAGGCTGACATAGTTGCCATATAATCGGGAAACTAAACTAGATATTTAGTATTGGGCATTTCATTCAACAGTGGTAACTTATTTTGAATTAGAGAATTGAATTGACATTGTCCTAATCACTAATAATATACATAATATGCATTTATTCAACTAAAACTACACATTCCATTGTCAATTGTGTTAATTAATTTAATTATAATTATAATTTTTATTTTGCGTAATATCTCGAACTATTATCATTTACAATCAGGATCAAATTGTTTTCGAAAGACTGTGTCCGATAAACACTCATTGCGCATGTCACGTCACACAATAGCGCAGCATTAAAATGGACGTTTTTCACTACACGAAAAAAAACTGCTGGTTTGATGTTACAACTGACAATAATCAATTTAGTCTATAAATAAATCACGCAAGGACGTTTAAAATAGCATAATATAATATAGCGAGTGAGTTAGTACAGTTAAAAATAATAAACAATGTCTGTAATAGAAATATGCAAATTAAACATGTGTAAAGGTTGCCATCACTATTCGGTGCAAAAACAATACAAAGGTTCGTTTTAAAAACTATATGCAAATTTGAAAAAGGAGAAATTACAATATTTTTCATGAATAATTGTATGAAATTTTAGTAGAAATTCAAACATACGATAAACATAAATTGCACTGTGACCACATACACCTCTACATCATCAGAGTTGTATTTAACACATGGTACCATCATATATGTTCATTTTGAATTGATTGCGTCATCGCATATAGTCTACAATAGTAATAGTGAATCACTTTTAGATCAATTACAATTGCCACGACATTATGAAAAATAATATCTCATACATAATAACTAGTATAAAACTATGATAATGAGGTAATACTAATATAATATTTTCTGTATGAATAATTGAAACAAGAATGGTTGCGATCACAGCAGGTATGTTTTATTTTTATTTTCCCATCACGAATATGTACGCTTTAAAACAACTTCAATTTTCATTGATTTAATTTATTGCCGTTTCTCATTACAAAATAGTAGTTCATTATATATTTATATAGTTTTATATGTGCCATTAGTTTATTACCTTTGCACATGTTGACATCCCGTCCAGTGAAACAATGTTATTACCCCTGGAGAATGATGAACACTTGACCTTGCTATGAGTTTACTATTGTCATGTGAAACGCGCGCGTAGCAACAACGGTCTTAAATATTTAAACACATATAGATATCAAAGTCATTTCAATGTTGTAAAGTACAATGTATTAATTGAAGGTAGTTTTCATGAACACGCAAAATTGAGTCAAACAAGTGAATATTTTCTTAGGTCAATATAATGTTATGGTTGTTAGTGTAATGTATCTTACTTTGTTGTGCGCATTTGCATTTAATAGTGCGCAGTATTTGCACCACGTCGTGTTCGATAGGTGACCCATGCAACATACAACGCGTGCACAAAATGTGTATACATGAATTTGAATACACGTTGGTCTGTGATGTTAAATTAAACATTGCTAACAGGCTGATAATTAGGTATTGGAAAGCCATATAATCTCTGCCTGTTTCCTTCAAAGGAAAGTACCTGTTGTATTTAGTAAATACAGAAACACATGAACTATATACTTTTTACCTGCGGTATATGTTGCTTTTAGAATCCGTTGTAAAACGAATCCCATGCAGGGTTGTCTCCTGGGTAAATTCGCGCAGTCTGTCTCGGCACCTGGGCGCACAGTTCCGTTGATGCGACATATCTTCGTCGCTTGACGGATGGACGTCATTAGTCGTCTGGAACACAGTTTCCATGATGTTTCTCGAGCTGTTGGATGCGTCCATTATGATAGCTCTGAGATGGGCAAAGGTACTGCGTCGCCGACCGATGCGCATGTATCGCAGACACAGTTCAACTGTGACGCGATGTCCAAATCTGAATTCATTACTATAATGCAATATATATATATATATTAATCCAATTAAAATGACTTACAGTTTCTAATAAAGATGTCAGGTATTGTATGCCAATGATATGCAATATTAGAACTACACTGGAAAGTATGATAAAATAACTTGAACATAGCTCCACGTAATTAAATATAGATGAATATCATTCGGTCAATACTTCTAAATGAGTTCTTGCTTGATGCTTAATATGGGCATATATTGCTACCGACTCTTAATGTAAACACAATTTTACAGATTTTACAGGAGTTAAAGGTTACCGTCGGTGTTGCTCTTTGACTACTAGGCGTGGACGTTTAATATAATTATTTCCAGTATTATTATATTCAAAATATTATTGGAATATGTTCATTTCACTGGTCACAGTGTGATCCTGTGGGATTCATATTTCAAGAGGAAAAATATCTACGAATTCACAGCAATCCGGTATATACACGCTTTGCATACGGACCGCGTTTTAAACGTGTGCTACCCATACAATCGCAGCGGATTTCGATCGTTAACAATTCTTTGAATTAGGTAAACAAATATATAGAGAATGACTAGGGATAGTTTTGAAATAGAAATTATAGCCAAAACAACGACGTTTTGCGAGGTAATTGCAATACAAAATTATTGCGCGGCATATGTGTAGTTTTATGAGCACAACGCGGTATGGCGATGGCGATATAAAATTCTCGTATCTGAAGAGACAGTTTAATTGCGATCGAGATGTATTTTACCTATACCTATACACGCTACATTTGCAGCGCTGAATTATTTCGAAATTGTGTGTTGAACGATGCGTCATTCAATAATAATTATAATACAGTAGTATAACGTATAGGTTTGATGTACTGTACAATTCATCATTATTACGCACATCCGTGTCAGCACATCCAGTAGTCTGTCATTATGTTTTCACTTAACTAATTTATTTACGCAAGGTCAAAATTTTTTTACAGTAGAAATGTGAAATTGGATGTCAGCCAGCCACGACTATGTTTAACACTCGTCGTATCTTTCTTTGTTTATGTAACATTCGAAGGTTTCAATGATATTATTGTTAATGTTGACGCAATAGCCCTAGATGCAAATAACTGCTGAGATCTCTGTGAAAGCGAGATACCCCGTAAAACAGTGTTACGGGAAAAGAGAACACTGTTTCGTTTCGTGCCTTTCACACGCTCAATGAGTCTGAAAAGTAGATGTTGCAATCACTAAAATAATCATTCCGCTATACAACAATTAGACATTGAATTGTTAGGAAATTGTTTGACTTGAAATACTGAAATATATATATATATATATATACGATGATACAGGAATTAATACACAACTACCTTATCAAACAGTGCTGTCGAGTTTCAATATTCATGTAGTTGTGTATTAATTCCTCTATCACCGTATTCACCCGCTCTACATATACTTTGTATTGAGCATATATATAATACATATATCTATATATCTATATATCTATATATATATATATGCCAAACTACCTAACCAGGAACAATTATCTTTTTGTTGTCATGTGGCAAATTACCACTATATTTCTTCCATTAACTTTGAAGTTGCCTTTCAACTCACAGAGAATGTCAAGTGGACAGGTAATTTGAATATTCCAAAGTTTTGGCACGGTTCTATGAAATTGTAAGCTTTCTGGCAGTTGTGTTGACTTGTAACAATAGTTTAGGAGTTTGAATTAATCTAGTCATGAATGTGTCGAGTTATGATGAACTAGTTCATGAATAATTTGTGCAAAGCGCGAGTGGACATAAAACTTAAGCACCCAGACTATAATTTTTTGTGAGATACATATTAAATTAAAATGCGAATAAAGAAACTTACTTCAGTACTGTAAGTAGTGTGTGGTTGAATGAACGAGTTATAAAGTGTGACCAATACGTTACCTGGAAGTATAGTACTAGCAGCATTTCCTCCTTATAAGTGTATTTATTTTTAAATTATCAATATGACCAGTCCATTTTAGATGGTTATCAATGGCGAATGACACTTCATCAACTTTATTTATCATATTATACTGTTTGATGGTTACTGAACCGTTACTTGTATCTTTTAACATCTCCTGAAAATTATATAATTAGTTTACCCTTTATTGACTGTATGTTTATCACTATCGAAACGGAGAAGAGCTTTCTTGTGTCACGTCATTAAGACCAATAGTAGTTTATCATTTTATGAATGTTTACATCGTCTGCAAATAAACGGAGTTTGGGAGATGATAATCTATTAGAATGAACAAATGAACTATTTGAGTATGAAGTGGACACACTTATGTAACACAATATAGGAAGTATCGTTATTTGATGAGCAATGAAAATAGTTGGGTTGAAATGTGTTGCCCTCCACACAGGAAAGACACTTTTTTAAACAACTTTCAGTTGAAACTTCCTAGTAGGAAAGTCAGCAAGGGAAATACGCCAATACATATCCCCGTCCGATTTCATAAGTGGTGCAGGTACCTTTCCGTTTTAATAACTGGGGCAGGTTCTCGTCCGATTTAATAATTGGTACATGACTTGTTCGATTTAATAATTGGTACAGACCATGTTCAGTTTAATAAATGGTACAGGCCCGTCCGATTTAATAATTGGTAAAGGCGCCGTCCGATTTACTAACAATTCTGGGAATTATGTTCGGGCAGTCTAAGTATGTCACGCCAAACATTGTGTAATTTTTATGGGTGAAGGCTCATACGAGAACGTGGGGCAGATATTTATAGATTTCACTCTTTCCAAACTTATAAAGTGATAACTTCAGTTCATCGAAATACTACAATACGGTACATTTGCTCTCAACTCTGACATTAGTGTTGATTTTATCTTTCTATTTAGCGGAGATAGAATCGTGAATACACTTAAATATTTAGAAGAAGATTACGCTCAAGGTGAATTGTACTTCCATCCGACAGGTCAGCAGTATCCAGTAAAGTTGAATTCATTACTTGGACAAGAACACATTAATTACTCCCCATCTACGAAGTTTGCAAAAGAATAATTCCTTATAGAATGAAGAACGAGTGAATTGATAACGAGTGGCTAATGGACATTATCAGTTATATTATTATCGATAAATTTACTTAATATATCTACAAAGTAGAGGAGAAATAACGTGTTTATAGTGATACATAGAATTTGACTTGCATACGACATATTACTTGCTTGATTAAACAAATAGTAATGAACTTAAAAACAATGATAGTCAAGGCTAGTGTACAGATATCTTTGAATGTAGCTAAGGTGCATGGTGCTGACTCATTTTTGCCTACCTTCCCAGCGGAGGTACGTGTTTCACTACAGTAGACACCCAATATCAGTTGCATACGTAATTGGTGGCGCAAAGCTTTTGAATCAGTTAATAACAGCGATGGAATAAGGTTATTAATAACATGAACGCCGTGCACACGACACGCTGTGAACAAAGTGATTCTAGTTTTGATCAGTGTGAGTTTTGTCATTTCCAGAATGAACACCAAAAAGTGTTAACCCGGCGGGGTTTAAATTGAAATTAATGTAGAGGGCAGTAGACAGTGATGCTGCAATAACACGGACTGGGTATAGGTCCGAGGTATTTCCATAAATAAGGAGAATGTATGAAAATAATAACGACCACCAAAACTAATATATATCTCTTATTTATTCTATCAAATGCCTTTTCTTTGTCTGGGCATCATTGACCCGAAAACAAATTGTGATATTGCCAAATCATTCCCACTCTCCAACATAGAAAATAACATTTATATTTGATGTATGCAATATTGTATTTCATGTATTAAAATAATTAACACATTACTCAATTACCCAATACATTATTTGCCGAAAAATAAAATAAAAAAATAAACAGTTAATATTACTTTCAACACTCAATTTATCGAGTATAAAATTATTGGAATGAATTGACAACATATCAAATGCAAGTTAGTTAACCACTTGCTAGATAGAAATGTCAGCACACGGTTGAATTGACGGTCAAGACTTTCTCACGAACGCACACCTTTCAGCTGTTGCATATCTCTTGCAGAATTGTTTTGATCGGTATAGTTTTCACTGTGTATTAATTTCATATCCATTGTTCGGGAATTTAGATTTTCCCCTGATGTGCCCTACATTTCTCATGAAAAAAGGTGAGTTCGTCGAATTAAACTTAAATATTGTACGTTGGACCATGAAAAGTGATTAATAATTCATTGATACCGTTTGAGTGATCATAACTCAAGCGTCAAAACATTTAAAACCCAGGGGTCATTCACTCACGTTCATAACACACCGGTAGTTGGCCAATGCGTTGGTAATTCAGTGGTGTGGTAAAACGGGGATAACACTATTTTCATTCTCCGGGGCAATTGAAATCGAAATCACTATTCAACTGCAAGGCGTCAATAATTGCAATATTTCCAAAAGAAGGAAACATTGTTTTTTTCAAATTTCAACAAGTTTCTGTTTGTTGTTACTATAAGGAGTTCGTCTCGGAAAACAGAACTTTCCAGTACTAGACATATTTATAGAAGAATGCAAAGCGATATCCTGGATGTGACACAACGCATTCTTCACTTTCGACATATTCTTCACTTTGTTTTGTTCATAATTAGTGAGTATTTATAATCTTTTGTCTTAATACTTAGATTAAATATTTCTAGAGGGTCGATGAAGTGAACTTTAGGCATGCTTGCTAAGAAGCAAACAATAATTTGTGCTTGGTTTTGAGCGATAGGTGGTAAGATCATCAGTTACGAATACGATCAACACATGTATACTTGAACGAGATGAGATGTGATTTTCACAAAAAAGTAAAACAGGTTGCTATTTGATGAGTAATTAAAAAAGATGTGTTGAAGTATGTTGTCACAGAAAGGAAACTTATCAGAAACTTACCAG